GTAGCACCACCTAGAATAGTGGGTAGTGCCCTCAAAAAGACGAATTGTACAGTTAACTTAAGAAGTGGTGTCTCCAGCATCCCATTGGTGATTCAGAAAGCACTGTAGGCCAACCTTTTTAAGACCCCGTGGACTTCAACTCTCAGAATTCCCCAGCCAGCTATGCTGGCTGGGGAATTCTGGGAGTTGAAGTCCACGGGATCTTGAAATTGGCACGGTTGGGACACCTGCACTTGTAGGCTTTATCTGAGAGTGAACTGGTCACACATAGTGCCTCACTCTGCAATAGGGCTCCATAGCTGACCAATCTGTATATAACCGATATCCCCCTCGTAGCTAGAATTCTTAAGTCCTGCATGAGTAACTGAGCTGTTGGATATTCTCGTAACCTTTCTGACTTCTTCCTTGCGCCCTTCTTAACTGCAGTTCCTCCCTTGAACATTATTTTTTTGGGGGGGGGATGGGATGGGGGAAATGGGGTGGGACTCCTGAGTAGCATTTGCTACAGCTGGAAGGGGAAACACCTGTCCCTCCAGCTGTGGATGAAACCATCTCAAGCAGACACACAGGACTTGTTGGGTGGGCGGGGGTGGGGGAACCATGTATCCTTGTTACCCTCCCTTCCCATTTTTTAAAAAAAAAATTAGGCCCTCGTGCTACTCGAGACTACTTCCATCTTTGAGGCATTGCAAGTCTTTTTTATTTTTCCCTTTCCTTTTGTTGAAATAAAAGATTGTGTAAAATACATGCAAGACTGTTAAATGCTTAGTGGTGTCCTGGTGAGCCTGTTCACAGTATTAATTAAATGATTAATAAATAAGATTTTTTTTTGGAAAAAAAAAATGTGCCTGACTTTCTTTCCGGTTTTAAATAATAACGGGGATTTCTTAAAAAGATATTCCAGGCCTTTATTTTTACTACACAATGGTGCTCTCTTTGTTTCCTCCTTGCTGCAGCACATCTCTGGGTCGATCCCAGCCTCCTCTTCCTCCTTCTCCAAAGGAGGAGTCGTGTCTGACTTGTTTTCATAAATGAATAATCTTTGTGCTTTGGCTGTTAAGAGTTTATTCCAGGAAGTGTGCCGTAGGGTTATTATTAAACCTTCACTTGTTACTGTCTTCGCTCTCGGAGAGAAAAATAAAAAACCCTTCCAAAATATCTCCAGGTACCAAGTGAATTCTGCACTGCCTTTCTTGGATTGTATGTTTCAGAACATCTTAAAAGTCCTTTTATTCAGCCTAATTGATTAAAACAAAAAACAAACACAGAGATTTGTGCCATTTTTTTTCTTAGTGGTAATGGGGTGGGGGGGGAGAGGAATGGACACTTTGCTATGAATTGTTTATAGTTCTTCCCCTAATGAATCTTTCCTTTGTAATTGTACAGTGTCTCAGTGGAAAATGTTGCCTGACTTTAACATTGTAACCAATAAACAAAGTGCTTTTAATTAGGATTTTTCTCTTTCTCCTGTTCAGTTGATTTCATGTTTGCCTGTTCTTCAGCGTATTGCATCTAAAGTCCCACCAGTTTTTACTCTCTCAAAAGAACCTGGATATATTACGCCATGCTAGAAAACAAGAGCCAAAAAAAACCCCACCCCAAATTCTTTTCAAGGATATTACGGTTTTAAAGGATTACCCTGTAATTCTCCTTTATGAATCCTGTTTCATTGAGAACGGATGAAATATGGGGCATTGCTGCTCAACAGCCATTCCTTTTGAATTATTTAGGTCACCTTTTTTTAAATAAAAATGGGTATGTGTATTAAACGCTTCACTGCATTTTGACAGAATAAAAAGGAATTAACTTTTTTTCCAAATAGAAGAAGAAAGAATTAATTATGCATACTCTGCCAATCAGGTACATCCACTAATTTTGCACTGGTGGGATTTCTCTCATTGTTTTTAAATAGAAATTCAGGAGATGATTGATGCAGTGTTTACAGGCAATCTTTATCTCCACCCACGCAGACAGGCAAAAGACATCAGAATATAAACTGACAGCAAACAGCACTCCTTACTAGCACTGATAATGTTACCTAGTTAGGGCAATGAAAGGTCCGCAAGAAAACAAGCAAGCTCAGAGAGCACCAAGGACCCCACATTTCAATCCTGGCCTACAAATATTATTCACTAATCCTTATCTTCCTCCTTTCCTTCTGCCTTATAAAAGAACTGAGATGTTCTCCCTGGATTTTGGGTGTAGTTCACTTTTTATCTTTAAATGATTCTGTGATTCATTCCTCCCTCTTCTAAATCTGACCAGTTCTCATCTTATTTCTGGCAAAAGAAGGAAGCTAAGAAGTTTGAGTATAACAAAAATAACTTCAGTGCCGTATGCCTCAGGCTGTCTTCTGTAAATAACCATTTCATGCAAGCATATGGGACTGAAGATTTACTTATTTATTCAGTTTCCAAAGCCGCCCATTTCAGCCAAGTGACGTTCAGCAGCTTAACCATTCTAAAACGATAAAACAATTGAAAGCATCCAAAGAATAAATACAGCGGCTGAGATAGTTAACTAACTAACAATAATGCCAAGAAACGGGAGTCCTTAACGCATTCTGAGCCCAAGCCCAGAAAGTTTTAAAATCTAATGAAAAACCCAACAAGGCTGCAGCCGTTCCAATCTGAGAAGGGAGAGATACAAAGCAGGGGCTCTTGCAGCAAGCAAGGCCTATTTCCTGCCCGTTGACATTCTGGCTGAAGGGATCTGCAGAATGACCAATTTGCTGGATCGAATTGGACAAACTGGAAAAAAGATTGTCGGGTTTTAAAGGTGACAACCAGCATCTTAAATTGCACCTGGAAACGTACCGGTAGCCAGAGCAGCTCAAGTAGGCAGTGGGGTTAAATTTGCTATTGGCACAGTCACATTCTGCACCAGTAGGAAGTTTTCAAATGCTCTTCTGGGGCAGTGATGGCAAATCTATGGCACGGGTGCCAGAAGTGGCACACAGAGCCCTCTCTGTGGGCATGTGTGCCGTCGCCAGCTGCTCTTCTGGTTTAAAAAACAGGCCATTGGGGGGGGGGGGCTTTTTTCTACCTGTTTTCAGGCCTCAAAACAGCCTTAAAATGGCCCGAAAAACAGCCTTAAAATGGCCAGAAAAGGCCTGAAAAATGGCCTCAAAACAGCCCAAAAAATGGCCTCAAAATGGCCAAAAAACAGGCATGTGCAACCGGCTAGCTGGTCTTCAGATTTCAGCGCTCCAGCGTGCATGCATGCTCACGCATGGACACATGTTCCAGTTTGGGCACTTTGCCCAAAAAGGTCTGCTATCCCTATACAGTCCATATTGCAAACATCAAAATATGATTGTTTTGATACAATTAACATTTTTGGTTTATACATTTCTGACCCAAAACTTTCTACTGTAGCCAAAATTCATATAAAAGAATCTTGATTATAATTCCCACATATGGATATTAGGTTTAGAAATTCTCCATAAAATAGGCCTGCCCTTAAAACGGTGTTCCGGACTTCAACTTATTTTGGGAGTTGAAGTCCACACATTTTTAAATTACTAGGGTTCAGAAAACACTGCCTTAAAGTATTAAAATGGTGGATCAAAGCCAGTACAGAAAACCAGGTCCCTATTTTTAACCACATATATTAGGAAAAGGCAGGTAACATGTTACTGAGAAGTGTTTGTGCCTTTTAGCATAGCATGGCAATAGCATCTAGACTTGTATACTGCTTCACAGTGCTTTACAGCCCTCTCTAAGTGGTTTAAAGTCAGCGTATTGTCCCCAATAATTTGGGTCCTCATTTTACCAACCTTGGAAGGCTGAGTCAACATTGAGCCTGGGGAGATTCGAATTGCCAATTTGCAGACAGCCAGCATTCAGCAGAATTAGCCTGCAATACTTTGAAGATCTGTGGACATCAACTCCCAGAGTCCTCAGCCAGTCATGCTGACTGGGGAATTCTGGGAGTTGAACTCCACAAGTTCCCAAAGTTGGACATCTCTGGATTAGAACCATGTTTTTCATCTTGGCTGAGGAATTCTGGGAGTTGAAATCCACATACCTTAAAATTGCTTAGCTTGAAAACACTGGCCTAGAGGTTTTAATATTCCCAACCACATGTCTACGGAGCATTTTCCATTTTAAAGAAGTTCCCGGAAGCCCGTACGAGGATGGAAATAATGCCCGTGCTATGTTTTTATGCCCTGCTAGAGGCTTTCCTAGAAAGAAGAGCTATTATTCAGTCTCTTCTTTGCTCTATTTTAAATATCTTCAACACTAAACTCCTGGAAGGAAAAATGGCTCTTAAAACAGCTGCAATTTTTTAAAAGCACAGTTTAGTTGTGTATGGTTCAAGTTGTCATTTTGTTTGAACATCTCAGCAAATGTCACTGGTTCCATCTACAATTATGGTATTGATCTGACAAAGAACAGGAGCATTCCAGGGCTGGGTTGCTGCTGGCATTACTGCCGGTTCGATGCACGGGCAATTGTGCGCTCCAAGTGCATGCACAATTGCTCATAAATAGATCTGCGCGTTTGCAGAACATTAAAAATTGAAAAAAAAAAAAAACATGCTGCGCCAACCGGGGAACTGGTTCAAAGGCATGGCAGGCCTGGGTCGCTGCCAGTGCTGATGACCCAGGCCAGCAAACCACTACCAGTTCGCCCGAACCAGTCCAAACTGGTAGGAGCCCACCTCTGAAGCATTCCACATTAAACATTCAAATGCAAGAGTTGCCTCTGGTTGCTGAACAAGGCAGAGAAAACTGCCAATGGTGTTACTAGCTCTTTGTCTCTTAGGAACTCTTACCAAGCCTCACCACAACACCTGATATATATATATATATATATTTAAGAACTAAAGTTAATTCTCACTTTGTTCTTTTAAAAAATATGCACACTCATATTTTCCTACTTAAAATTACTCTCAGGCAGGGAGGCCATTGTTTTCTTTGGATCTTTAGGGCTGCCATACTTGGTGGATGGGCATGCTGTGGGAAACGGGAGGGTGGGGTTTGATGGCAACGGGGTGAGATGTATAGCCATAACAATGTTCTTTCACTGGGAGTCAAGGACGTTCAGCCAGCACCTGGAGGAGCTTGACTGCAGTGGTGGGATTCAACTGGTGTTAACAACCGGTTCTCTGAGCGTGCGCGGTGCATTTGAAAATAGCTCTAAAAC